ATTGCTTGAATTATTTCAGCATGTTTTTGTTAAAGTAAATGTGATCTTTTTCTTGTGTTGCTAGAATCTTTGAAATCTTTGAAATTCAAATAAAAATAAATTCCTGGCTTGGGTTTTGCAGAGTGATGTCGGAGGGAGGTGCTTTCCTGGTGGTTCTGTATTCCCTGACTCACCGGGATCCCGAGTTCTACCAGTGTAAGCCATGTGTCGGACAGCAACAAATGAGTTTTCAGCTGCTCACCAGCACAGAGTCATTCACGCTTTACAAGGTTAGCCTGTCTATGTCTTTGTTCTCATCAAATTAAATATGAATATGCAAAGGTCTATAGGAAACATTCCTCTCCTCCTCATGCAACCTGTTCTACTATGTGTTTTATACATTAAAAATTCTTTGTTTTTGTTAAAGAATTCATTATTGTGTGATGAATCAGATTTCAGATTTTTAAGTGTAAAGAGCGATTGTGTTTTCACATTTGATGTGAGCCTTCTTTGGTTTTAGAGTTGTTGCTTAGCTAACATGCTGTACTAAATTGTTTTTAGGGTTGCTTTTTTTTTTCCATTAATTTTACTACTAATTTTCCAATACAGAATGTAGAGCCTTCAGAAGGACGTCCTCTACAATTTGAGCTCAGTGCTGAGAACCAAAATCAGGAAACTGTGCTGTTTGAGGAAGTGCTCTCCCAGACTGTTTTAACAGGGTACAGTCTTATTATTTCTCTAAAAACGTTTTTTTTTATTTTTTTATGTCTTGACATTTATGTTTGGCTGTTTACTGTATCTGACAGAATACAATATACCCAAAGCAAGCGGAAATATAACACACTATACCTGGTTTGACCTATTAGGACAACTTTTGCAGCATCTTCAGCTGCTCCACAGAATAAATTGTCTATCAGTGATCATGACTCCGGTGTAGAAGATGAAGACCTCTCTCCTCGGCCGTCTCCAAACCCTCATCCTGTCAGTCAGCAGGTTTGTTAACTCATGGCCTTGCACCCCTGATCTACCTCTCCATTTCTTGCAGGATAACTTCTTACCCATTAACCTCCATTTGAAATATTTTTCTTCAGACTAGACGTGTTCATCCTTCAGTACCAGAACTCTCTATGGTATTAGATGGCAGCTTTTTGGATGGGAGTGTTATTAATACACAAGACTCGACTCCTGTTTCTAATAGCCTTTCGAATGTCCAGCGGAAAAGCATTAGCCCTGCCCACCAGAGCCTCTCAGTGTTGAGACCTCCAGAACAGGGTAGCGTCCCTGGACCTCCTCCAATCCGTAGACCACTAACTCCCATCCTCTCTCAGCCGAAAAACAAACTACATCCAAATCCGGCACAACACACACCACAACCCAATGTGAATCGTAAATCCTTGCCCTCAATGAGAAGATCAAGAGAAGGCTCATCAGCATCATCTGCATCATCGTCTTCATCCTCTTCCTCAAAGAATGCTGCTTCGCCCAATGGCTCTTTTCATCAACAAAGGCAGCGTTCTTCCCAAGGTTTCCTGACCAAACCCCAGCCAATTTATTCCGGACCCCCAACATCAGCTCACAGCAGTGTCAGAAAGAGTTCAGCAATGCCTAGCCAGACCCCCATTCATCATCCGTCTCAACACAGGCTCTTCCATAGCACCCCAGCTGCCAACCCTTGCAGCTGCTGCACCAACCAACCCAGCCACGTCCCCTTGTATCAAAACAACACCTGGCAAGGGACACCATGTGTCCCCATAGTCAACACCAACAAAGGTTTTGTTGAGCAAGTCCTGTCCTGTCAAACCCAGTGCTGCCAAGTCCAGTCTAGCCAGGTAGCATGCTTAGACACCCCCATGGGTCTCCTTCCTGCTGATGCTTACAAGATGCTTATGGATCAAGAGCGTCAGTTGAAGCTGCTTCAACTCCAGGTTTGTATTAGTAAGGCAAACGTTTTATCGTTGACCTGTTATCACATGTTGTTAACGGACTTTCCTTAACAGATTCAGAAACTACTTGAGTCTCAGAGCAAAACATCTCCGGTATCATCTGCAGAACATGACACTCAGCAGGAAAGAGACAATCAGACACCCACATCTCCACCGAAACGAACGAGTGTCAGTGTTGCTGTAGGAACAGGTACTTTGATGGAAGCTTTCATGTTCTTGAATTTGTTACGAGTTCCTTTCAATGTCATTATCGACATTGACATTTTCGTTGTTTGTTTTTTAGGGGCTAGCTTGTTTTGGAACACCTCTCAGGAGGCGTCCACACATGAAGCCCCAAGTCTGGATTGGCAAACTGAGATAGAGCCAAAGTCTGGAGGTCAAAATGACAGTATAGTCACTTCCAGACTCGGATCCGAAAATGCATGTCATTACACCGAAGAGCGCAGTCCAGGATCTCCTCTACATCCAACATCTCCAAAACCCAAGTAATGAACCCTTTGTTGACCCCTAATGAACCCTAAACCATTTTTAGCGATTGTCAACCTTCATATCTGATTTGTCAAAGAGTGTTACACTTTTATTTTTTCCAGGCAATGTTTGATATTTTATTTGTCTTTGGCAGCATGTCATCTGGTTTCGGAGCCCATTCGTTTCAGAGTCCAGTGTTGGGAGAGAGTGCTAGCATGTATTATAACTCTCAGTCACAGAGTAACGATCTGTCTGAAAACCGAGAAATTGACAACCCAAGATTTTACCATGAACTACTGGTATGGCCCAATTTTTATGCTTTAGTTATAATTTTCACATTTAATTAGAAATTGATGCATTGTGAATGTTCAAACCAACTTTATGATTCAATACCTGCTGCAGGGTCAGGTGCAAAGTCGTCTACAAGACTCCGCAATTGTGGAAGAAAAGGTAGAGCAAGACAAACCGAGTGTCCCAAACAGACAAAGTCTGTCCCCTGTAGGCCTTAAATCTAAGAAATCACCGACATCTTCCATACCCCAAACTCAAAAAACGAAGCACAGATCCAGTCCTCCATATCAGGACCGTGTCTTAAGTGCAACATTAAGACAGCTCCAACAGTTCGGGGTGAACATAAACATAGACTCTGCCCAGGGAAAGACGACACGTGCAACTGTGGAAAGTGCCAGGTAAAGACGTAGTCAGTGACGGATCATTTTATCAAAACTATTATTAAAAGTCTTGTTTCTAACATCCTTTTTCTCTTCAGTACCCTTGCCTGCATTAACCCAGAGGCGGTGATTCCAAGACTAGCTCTTTCTGAACCAGTGGGGACCAGCATTTGGGGACCAAGCGGCAGTGTAGACCTTAGCCTTGAGGCCAATGCCATTGCACTTAAGTACTTAAGCGACTCGCAACTGTCAAGACTCTCATTGGGCGGTCAATCCTCAGGCCCATGTCTAGACCCTAGCGCGATGCTCTTGAGAAGACCCGCTGCAGAAAAGAGCAGCGTTGGACTCAGTATACTGTCCCCCAGCAATATGTCCCTAGCTACCTGTAAGTACATGAAGAAATACGGACTGATTGAAGGAGAAAACAGCAGTGAAGAAGAGGACACCGTCCTGGTAGACTCAGCTCTCGGGTGTTCTGTACAGCATGAAACGTCCAAGTATGTGAGCGTTAAGCAAGACCGTGAAGACCAGAGTGCTGCGGTTCTCAAAAACATTACAAACAAGCCAGTCGCCAATCTCCACATGTCTCCCATTGACTCTCAAGAGCAGTTAATCCTAGACTTGCGGCCCAAAATGCAGCTGCTTATGTGTGGCGGGACAAACCCAGAGAAGGAGAATGATGCAAAGAAAGGTCTGACTCAACGTAGGTCCTCGCTAACTGAAAACCAGAGGACGCAGGAAGTCACGGAGCCTGAAGGGTCAGTGGGAAATTTTCTGGATCTGAGTAGGTTACGCCAGCTCCCCAAGCTCTTCTAAAATGCATCATGGGGGTTTTCCAAACAGATCCCTTTAACACACCAACAACTCATCAAGAAATGTCAGTTTGTTTTAAACCCATCCTCGAAGATTTATCTTCCATTGTTCGTTTACATAGTATAACACGATTTTATTTTTAAAAGTGTACAGACTCTTTTCATCGAAAGCTTTTAAGTGTTTTGTTGTCTGACTTTTCATCTTGTCACCTTAATGTTATTTCCTTTCATATGCAGGCTTAAAAGTTTTTACGTTTACCTGATGACTCCTTATTGTCATGTACAGTATGAGTAAAGTGCCTTGTATGAAGTGACTCACTTAAGGCAGTATTGTTTACTAATTTTAACTTTCCAAATTTTGTCTTGTTTGTGCCATTACTTGACTGTTGATTTTTACCTCAAATTGACATGAACAGTTTCAGAGGGAGAATTACTGAGTTTTTATCCTTTTGTGTTTTGTATGTTCGTTTTAGATGACTTTATGTACATGTATGTGTCCATAATTAAACTGCGTATTCTTTTATATAACTTTATTTTGTGAGTTTTATCACTGACCATCACATCCTTGTGTTTCTCATAAGGATATCTAAACATCTCAAACTTATGTTATCTAATTAGTAGGTAAATGTTTGACTTGCCAAACACACCTGGTGATAAAACTACGTAAGTTCACATAATAGTATCTAAGGGCCAGAATTGAGGTAAGTTCTTTTGACTTGGGCTAGTGAGTAACCACCCAGAACACCCTAGCAACAGCATACCAATTAATTAAATATCACTTGGAGTGCCTTAGCAACCGCATTGGAACAAACATGTTGGATTCACGACTTAAAGAGCCATTTTCCTCAAAACTTTTGTGGATGTGAAAGTAGACAAAAGCTCAAGACAACACCTCACTTTAGTTTCTCACTGCCACCAAATGTAAAGAGGCTTATCGCTGATGGGCTGAGATTTAAAACCTACTAAGCTGCTTTTTTGTGTTTAAACAGCATTTTGGACATCACCAATGCTGTCTAGGTAAGATTGGAGACTTGACTCCATGTAGGATACGGTCTTGATGTGTGTATGATCTCCGGTTGCGCAATCCTGGACTTGTCTCGCTTGAGCTGAGACTCAGGCAGTCAGTCCAAAGAAACTTTCATTACAGCAGCAGGCGAAATTCGCCCTTCTGTGAAGATTGAGCTGAACCAAATATTGTGAGTACATGTTGTACTGCTTATATTATGTAGGTTTATTGTCCTTTTAGATTTAGTTTCTCTTATTTACACACCGTATATAAAGGCTAGAACAATGTGTAAAAATGTCTGTAGCTTAGGAATACAGCAGAATATTTTGAATCACCTTTAAAACGCTTAAATTGTCATTTCTGCAGTAAGTATCGTTAAAAATGTGTGTAATTCGATTGAAACGCCTACAACTATTACAAATGAGCGTTGTAAGCGTTACCTAAGATGCATCAACCGGCGTAGCATAAATGCTAACGCTCACGAGCACATTATTCAATAAGGATACATTTTATTATTAGTTAAGTTTCTATGTTTTTTAAAGTGTTTCAGTTAGCAAAATATTATTACAAACAGCAAGGGATTCGCGGTAGAACTGTTTTAACTTAACAAATGACGTTTAGCCGAGCGCTACAAGCTTTGTTTTGTTAGCACACCGGCTAGCTGTTTAATATTCAAATTTCAAATCGGTATAAACGGTCCAAATGCGCATTGATATTAGCTCACATTTTATACGACTTAATAATGTTTATATGTAGAAAACATCTTATGGTGCTAGGTAAGGATAAGTAATGTTTATTTTTGTTTTTACTTGTTTTAATCTAGAAATGGCTATTAGTTAACCTGCTGACTAGCGTAACAGTTTGACAATCTGAGCTTTTAAACAAGTAATGTTTCTTCATCGTGTGGCATTTGACTAGATAAACGAGTAGGTATGAAATAATATATACATAATTGCAGTTTAAAGCGTGTGTTTTATTATTATTTCAGCCATATCCAGCTCTAGTCAAAGGGCTTTGTCTCTTTCTTTCTTTCCTGTCCTGAAGGGCTTGTTGGTGTTATGCAAACGGTTTACACAGAAGTAGGATTTTCTCAAGAAATCTTTGACTAAGAGTTTCTTGGGGATTCATTTGATGATAATGCATTTGATTTGCTTCATTTAGCTGCTAAATCCGATCGGAATGTGATGATGCACACGTGCTTATTGTCTTTTTCTTGGCACAGATTAAATAGGATGTGGTTTATATATTGTTAGATCGCGTTGAGTTTTGTAATTAAACGCTTGATAATTAAGTGATGCTTAAAATCTCTGTTAACCTGCTTTAGGGGGTTTCCAATAGGCAAAGGGCAAGAGAAAAGTCTCAGCATGCTTTGAACAGAGGTAATTTTTTCCATGACTGCTCTGGCATCTAAAAACAATATTCCTCTTTTTGAATTACAAAAGTGAATGTCAGGCATGTAAATGACCTTTATGATACACATTAAATACAATTGCCTTTAAATTAGTCACATGTAGTTGACAAACAAGTCATGATTACACTGCATCAATTCTTTGTATGGAGATGCTAGGAAATACACAAATTGACATACTGTACTTCCTGGTGTGTGTGTGTGCGCGTGTATGTATACACACACTTAAAATATATACATGTATAATTCATTTCAAGTGTATTTTTTTATTATTTAATATATTTATTTTATTTTTAAATATATACACACACACACACACATGTGTGTATATATATATATATATATATATATATATATATATATATATATACACACACACAAGTTATCCCACACCACAGAGCTTTCCCTTTTGTCGATTACCCACCAAACTTAATTATAGTTCTGAGAAATCCTGGTACCAATGAAACAATTTATGACATAGAAAGAAAACGTGGGTGTGCCCATGTAAAACGGTGCTTTTGTTAGCTGCCACAAGAGGAAGTACCTTAGTTGCATGGGTGGCTGCTGAAGATACTTTTTTTTTTTTATGGGTGAAGTTCTCACACTTGCACATGACTTGTGCAGAAATCCTTGCAAAAACTAAACTTGCATTCCTGATGGAGTGAATAAGTGAAGATCTAAATAGTTTTCAGTTTTGATTTTGTGACGCATTCAGAAAGGAAACAGGTGTTCGATTTCGCAACTAGTATCCTATGATTTTGTTTTCAGCTTCCTTTTGTCACCGAAGCATGAGTGTACAACTCCCGTGCATGTGATGGAAACTGCTCTTTGTTATGGCTCATGTTTCTGTTCCCTATAGGTCAGAATTCCTGCCTTCCTGCTCCTGAAAACATGTTGATTTTGTTTGTCAGATGAGTCAGAGCTCAGGACTCGTAACCTCATTTGAGTTTAAACGCTTCCTTGTTATGTCTCCCGCTGGAGCGGTAGAAGGAATTGCACTTTATTCGTGATTAATCATTTGAAATCCCCTGGGTTGTGTGTTTTGGAGGTGTTGTTTTGGTTATATAATGGCTATTTCGGGCAGCTTTAAGGTACGGTATGCAGACTGCGCTGTAATAAATGATGAGTCAGGTTATTGCTGCTGTTCTGGACTTCCCGGCCAGGAGGACTGAATGTTTCATAGAGCTCATGTTGTCTGGCTGAGGGCAAAAGGTTTAAATGTGATGTTGGCCAAAGGATCCTGCTTGAAGTTTTCGAACTTATTTTTCAAGTATTTTTTATAAGCATGTTTTCACGATTTTAATATCAAAGTTTCCTGGGATTTGATCAAAAATAAATTTTCATTACAGACACTGTGTTACAGTTATTGGGTCTTATTTATGTTATGTTTTAAATTAGTGGAACAAATTTTTGTAAACGGTTCATAAAACCATTTTAAATGTATGTGTTATAAATTAATTTAATTTTTAGTATGTCATTTTTTTCATCATCAATTAATATAAAAAGATTGATGAATTTAGTTTAATTTTTAGTTTGGTCTTTTTAGATTATTTTGTTTTTACACTCATCTCTTTCATTATGTTTATTTTTTTCTTTCTTGTCTTAGTTTATGTATTTTTTATTTATTTATATATTTTGGATTTTTGTGCTGCTAATGTGATAATGAGAGTTTAAATAGCAGCATTTTCATGTTTAATTATCACATTTTAAACCTTTTTGGTTATTCTGTATGAAAAAACTAAAATCAATTTGTCTAATTTTATTTTATTTTAGGAAGTTTAAGTCATAACATTATAAACATCATTATTATAATTAAAATGTTATTTTAGTTTTTAAAAAGGTGTTTGTTAACAATAACAACATTGTTCTGTTTCATAAATGAGGCTCAATTTAGCTACAGTGTTAGAAATTGCAATTTTAATGTTTTATTTGAATAAAGTAATAGGCCAAGACACAATTCATAAGCATTAAAGGGATAGTTCACCCAAAAATGAAAATTTGATGTTTATCTGCTTACCCCCAAGGCATCCAAGATGTAGGTGACTTTGTTTCTTCAGTAGAACACAAACGAAGATTTTAATGGTCATATAATGGAGGTGAATGGGAATCACTGACAGACTGCAACGGTCTGAGTTAAAAATCTTCGTTTGTGTTCTACTGAAGAAACAAAGTCACCTACATCTTGGATGCCTTGGGGGTAAGCAGATAAACATCAAATTTTCATTTTTGGGTGAACTATCCCTTTAAGTAATTTATGGCTGAACAAGATAATTTGGCATGTTGGGATTTACTGATGTGAGTGATCATTTGTGTTTTGTTTTTTTGTCTTTCAGGTTATGTTTTTCACACTATGTGCTGAATGCCCACAATGCCAGGAAATATTTAAGAACCGTGATCTTTGGAAAAGCTTTATCGGTTCCAGTGGAACCTTTAGGACTTACTGTTGTAACGTTTTACGCAAAACGCACATAGACACAAATGCAGCAATAAGAGAAGATCTTGGGGACCGGTGCATCACAGACCGCGCTTCGCTACAATGCCCGTGCAAGCCCCGCAATGGACCGAGTTTCTGTTGTGTCCCATTTGCACGCAAACCTTCGAGGAGAGCCACCGCAAGCCCATCAGCCTGGGCTGTGGCCACACCGTGTGCAAAATGTGCCTGAACAAACTGCACCGCAAGGCCTGCCCGTTCGACCAGACCACCATCAGCACGGACATCGAGCAGCTGCCTGTCAACACAGCGCTCTTGCAGCTTGTCAGCGGACAGGTGAGTCTAAATGTGTGGTCACATTGGCAAGATTTTGCGGCAAAAAAGTTCTGTTATCAGCTCACAAAGAAGTTACTTACCAATCAGGTGTTTATCAATCCAGCGAATTCGCAAGACCAACTTAAACATGAGTGAAATCTGCACAGAAAATGTTTTGCTCTCACACACAATTCCTTAGGGGTGCTCCGGTTGCTATCGGCCAATAATCAATTTGGGAAGTTTGATTGGTGGTCTCTATAAAGGCCGATCTCATAAACCGATCTCAAGCTGATGACGCGCTTGCCGTGAGAGGTTAGGCGTGACATGCAGCGGCACCGTCTCAATCTCTGTACGGCATGGGTAAAATAATTATAATGCTGAAGGTGAGGTACAATTCATATTTCTTTATTAAATAACTTACAAAGTAATTTGAAAACTTTCTGTGAGACGTCATTTCACAAACAGCGTGAGTGAATCACTGCGCTCTCTCGCAAAATGCGCAAATGGCTTCAAATCAGCTCATCGCGTCTGCACTATAAGCGCTGAATGAAACAAAAACTGTGTCTGTCTTCATTTCAGGCTGCAAAGCAACAAAATGTGATTATTTTAAAGAGGGGTGATTCTTTTCTATACCCACTGTATATAAGGCACAGTTCACAAAGAAGTCGCTTTCAAACTAGGCAGGTTTCTATTAGTCAGTGTGGCGAATTTGCGTGATCAACTGTGAAAAATCTGCATTCAGTCTTAACATGAAACTCCCAATTGCCTGTGTTCCTTTTTCACATGCCTATTTTCACCTATTTTCGTTAACAAAACATTATTTGAATGGTATTTTAGAAACCGTAAACATGAGCGCATATGATGGCCCAGTGCACATCGGTTCAATCTGTACCGAACACATTTATTTTTATTGACTTCTCTTATATGGATGAAGTTGTGGCCCCTACCCTAGCCTCAGTCTAAGTATGGATAAGGAAGTAAAACTACTGTGGTTCCTTGTAACTCAAACAAAATGCACTTTTTTCCTTTTCAAATGACCTTGCTAACAATCAGAACGTGAGGCAAACTGCTAAAAAGACCAGACTGCAGTGATCGTGCAGACAACACAGCAGTTGTACTTTAGGTGGAGCGTGTTTATTACAGTGTTTACTGCATCCACTTGTTTCTGAATCAAGAGGATGAGCAGAACATGTCACGTACAGCACGGAGAGGTGGAGCTTAGGGCGTCAGGGTTCTGAAGATCAGCTTGCGATCGTTCCGGTCTGGTTGGATTTCATGCCAGATGTGACAGAAGCGTGTGACTGTATGACATGAGGCTGTAAAACACACTGCTTCTTCACTCACACAGCCAGTGGAGAACCAGGAAGTTGAATCAACATCAGCCAGTCATTGTCAGCGTTGTCTGTAAAAATACTTCTTCATTCTGCACATGCGGTGATAGGTATGACTGTCGCAACTATTACATAATTGTCTAGTCACGATTAATTCAGATGACCACAGTCATAGTGCGCTCCATTGGGCGCTGCATTTAAATAAGGTAATTAAGCAAATACAAAAAGGCCACGGTTTCACATTTGCAAAACTGCAGATGGCGTGGGTCCATGCAGGTTTTCACACAAAGCAAATGAGGTAAAGATAACCATGTTAAACATGCAAGATGAACTGCCTGTTTAAAAACTGTTATCTACATTCAGAAAATCAAATGTCTTTATTCATGCATGAGTGACCACCTTTAAAATGAAACCAAAAACAGAAATTAGTGCAGAAATGTATTACTATTTATTTAAATAAATTTAAATAAATAAATACTATTTAAATATTTCTTACTACTAATGTATTATTCAGTTGTGATGGATTCCCAAAAATTGTGTGAATGTAAAGCAGACTTGTCAATCACAAAGTGGACCAAAAGGAGAAATATTTTAAATAATTTCTTCATATTTTAATATTTAGAACTTCATGTTAGAAATTCATGTTGTTCTGCCCAGTGCAACATTTGTGTTCATTTTAAAATGTCTTTACTGTCACTTTTGATCAATGTAATGCATTCTTGCTGAATAAAAGTAGTAAGAGTAGTGTATCTGATTCTGATGTAATAATCATATATAATTGAAAATCATTCTACCATTTTAAAGTGTCAGTCCTAAAGCTTCAGTCTATTCTCAGAAATGCAGTTATTTATGTAACCGTGAATCAGCCAAACCTCACAGTCACGACAGCCCAAATGACGGGACCTTTTGTGGCCAAAACGATCGTTCCTCTCTTTGTTTTTAAATCACATGTTGTTATGAGAGTTGTTGCTCAGTCTGTGGGTGTGAACATGTTCTACATGTAGAGGAATGCTGACAGCCCCATCAGATGACCTATTATGTGAAGAATGCCATCAAAGCCCTGTAGATGAGAACTATCTTTGGTATGGTGACAGACAAATGTTATGCTTTGTCCTGCAGGTACCCAAATCTCCCCCCGTCACTTTACTGACAGCTGCAGAGGACGTTAAGCACTATGAGGAGTCTCGCACATGTGTGGAGGACCTGGCCCTCTATCTCAAACCCCTGAGCAACACCAGAGGTCCCTGCCATTTTACATGACCCTTTTTGTTCATTTATAGTTAGCATATGCTTTTTTTTTTTTAAGTTTCCTGATTAATCATAAACGTCAACAAATGCATCAAGATATCATAATTGGATTGCGATTGCAGTATATTTTTTAATATAATATTGTATTTATTTTTATTTAAGATATTGACTTTATTTAATGTATTATTTTATTTTTATTTATTAATTAGTTTTTTATTGTTTGGACTAGGGATGTGCGGGTCTAGTCGTCTAGTCGACTAAACGGTACAGCTCCTACTAGTCGACACTGAAAACAATAGTCGATTACACGACAGAAAAAGAAGAAAAAAACATGATTTTATCTTTCAAATTACCGTCATTTTAACATTGCATTTAAAACATTTTAAATAACAAGTTAAAATAAAACGTTTGAAAAATAATACATTATTTTTAAAAGTTTATCTGGGCGGAAACTACATTTTTACCTCAGACCTCACATGCGTTTTCTTCGTGTCAGTTGCGGCGAGTTCAGAAATGACCATGCGAAAGATGAGAAGGTGTGGGATTATTTTGAATTAGAAGGAAACGGAAAAGTTTTGTGTAAATTGTGTAATGTCAAATTGTCTTACAATAACTCTACTGGAGCGATGCGTAATCATAGTCGGATACAAAACTTTCGTTTAAACGACAGTCAAATTAGTCGTCGCGCACATCCCTAGTTTGGACACCTAACAATTCACCATATTTATCATCCTTAGCATATGCTTTTTAACATGGTTTTTAAGTGTTTCATCATCCTTCATGATAATCAGTAATCCTGATCCTGAAAAGGCTGTTAACATTTGTTTTTTGTTGATGTTGATCCGTGCAGGTGCAGGGCTGAATGGTGCTGCTCAAAGTGTTCTCAGCAGACCCATGCAGAGGAAGCTGGTGACTCTGGTGCACTGCCAGCTGATGGAGGAGGAGGGCCGCATCCGGGCCATGCGGGCGGCCCGCTCTCTGGGTGAACGTACTGTCACTGAGCTCATCCTCCAGCACCAGAACCCCCAGCAGCTCTCCTCCAACCTGTGGGCCGCCGTCAGAGCCAGAGGCTGCCAGTTTCTCGGCCCTGGTAAGATTTTGTCACTATAACATGATAGCAGGCTGATAAAGTCATTTGGGGGCACTAACAAAAATTGGGTTTCACCCAACAGCTATGCAGGAAGAAGCATTGAAGCTGGTCCTGCTCGCTCTGGAAGATGGTTCGGCCCTCTCACGGAAGGTTCTGGTCCTGTTTGTGGTCCAGAGACTCGAACCACGTTTTCCCCAGGCCTCAAAAACCAGCATAGGACACGTGGTGCAGCTCCTTTACAGGGCCTCCTGCTTTAAGGTGCCTTTACTGTTCCTCTTTTCCTTTACAATATTAATGCTTCTCATTGCTATCGATTTAATTAAAAAAATATATATATATCGTATATAATGTATAAGTCATATAAATAAAAATTTTACATGGAAGTATACAATTTTATTGCATAGCATTTTTGTTGTAACCTCAACATATCTAAAACTGTTATATAATAAAATATAATATAAAATAATATAAATATATTTTATAAAATATACAATTTAAAAAATTATATTTAATTTGTATTTATATTAAATTTGTAAAATTACTAATTCGATTTCATGTCAGCTGATTTAAAAATGTTTAGATTTAAAATATATGAAATAGATCTGTTTTAGATTGAAAACATTTTTAAACATATAGGCCTGGTTTCACGGACGGGGCTTAGACTAAGCCAGGATTAGGCCATAGTTCAATTAGGACATTTAAGTAATTTTTATTAACATGCCTTAG